TGAGTATTACTAATGGATTTTCTGAGTCTGTTGAGAATCATCTTTGTATTTTGCTGTATTGAGAATAAAATCTATATGATTAAAGAGTTTTGTCTGTGGTTTGGATTTCTTTTCTTTCTTTTAAAGTGTTTTTGAGCATGGATGTGAACCTTAATTTAGCTTCAGGAACACACTATGAATTTTGATGCACTGATGGTGAAAGAAATGCACCAACAAGTGTCCGAACGGTCCGGTGCTTCAGCATTTTAATCCCCTTTTTACAGCTCGCTTTAATGATTCTGTTATGTGACAAATGGAGGTTTCGAAATAGGCAGTATTCTATGCAGTCTGAAATCATAGGAGGTTTAAAGCAGTGCTGGAACTAATTGTCAATTCTACCAGTGTTGGGGAAAGTTACTTTTAAAAGTGATGCATTACAATATGGCATTACGCCATAAAAAGTAACTAATTGTGTCAGTTACTTTTTATGGAAAGTAATGCATTACGTTACTTTTTGTCACCTGGGCTGGGCTTGCTTGTATGCATTTTAATAACAAAACCCCAAAAGTTATATTTTTGACAACTATAAAGGCTTTTTCAATCCAAAGGTGAAATTAATAAACCTCAGCCTAAAGCAAGTGCCTCTTCCACTGCACTTACTCCCGATTCACGGGACAGGAGACGTGTCGGTAAATAAATGGGATAAAGTAACTCAAATATTTTGTTGTAAATTTTAAAGTAATGTGTTACTTTACTAGTTACTTGAAAAATCATCTGATTATGCAACTCGCATGACTTGTAATGTGTTACCCCCAACACTGAATTCTAATTAAACTTTGGGTTAATGAAAGCATGAAAAGTGTTACCACAAATAAAATGACAAAGTCATAAAATGTACATTCATTGCGAGAACTTGAGCTCTAATAATATAATTATGATCACAATAATCCGCTTGGTATTCGGATCTCGCATAGCTGGGTCATGCATACACTCTAAAAAATGCTGGGTTGTTTCAACCCAACTTTGGGTCAAATATGGACTAACCCAACTTTTGGGTTAAAAATTTAATGTAAACATTTAACCCAACGGTTGGGTTAGTCCATATTTGACCCAAAGTTGAGTTGAAACAACCCAGCATTTTTTAGAGTGTAGCATTACTGTACAGTAAAGTACAGTAGCATATCAAATCATTCTGTTATATCTTTCATAACATAGTTGAGAATCATCTTTGTACAAAGTTTGGCTAAAAACAGCCTGAAACATAAAAACTGAGTGGTGAATGAAAAAATAAAACATTGTTTTTGCCTATACATGCCTTTTCATGTCTGTTTATTCTTTTTGTAATACTTAGTCCTGGCGTCCTCTATAAATGACACAGAATAAAATATGAATAAAAAATGAATGCTTTTTTCTCCATTTGTTTCTTATATTCCGACCAATGTAATGACGTAAAAAAAAAAAAACTATTTTTTTCTGGTTCTCAGGAGGATATTACATGTTTACAGGTAGGCAGCATTAACATTTACATAAACAAATATGACGGCCATTGTTGGACAGCTCAATAACTTTCTCCTGAACTTGCCCCGCCCCTTTTGTGGCCCCGCCCCCGCCCGCTGATTGGCTCTCGCACAGAGGAGGCAGTCGCTTCACTTTGCCTCAAGTCACTCGGAGTTCTGCTTTAGAACGCTCCGTGGACGGCGGTGTGATGAAGCGCGCTCGAGCCGTGCAGGTAAGCAGCTCCAGGTGGAGTGTGTTCAAAGTGCTGGGATCGTTTTGTAAACACGATAGTTTCGGTCAACAGCTCACAGCAGCAGCTGGATCAAATGATGTGTCCGTATAGAGTGCAAATATGTGGAATGGATTTACTTATTTTGATAAGATGTTCATTCAAATGCATGTACTTTTAATACGGGCTTAGTGTAACACTATTACACAAGAGGTTTTTGTACAGAAGTGCATTATTTTCGGGGACTTTGTCCCACCAGGGAAAGAGGTAATCACTACTTTCCCCTCTCACATACTCTATAAAAAAAACAGCTTGACCAGCTCAAGACTAATTTAAACCTTTTTTCAGCAGGGATGTGTAATAAATGGATAGAAAGAGAGATCAGAGGATTGCAATGTATTTTGGCAAAGGGTCTGTTCATAATAGATAGCCTACGTTGCATTCTGTGGGTCACAGTCCACTTTAGTTGAATTATTCAGTGCGCCTTATGTGCAAGATGACTTTAGAGGGCTGAAAATGTGACAGCTTTGCTCTGCATTGTTCGGTGGAAACCAGACTCTGGCGTTTTGTCCAGTTGCTGAAACTCTATCAGTCTTGCGTTGAAAACCGCCTCCCCGTGTTCTCTGTAGCAGGCTTCGCTTGATTTAGGAATAGCATGGCATGCAAGAAGCATCTAAACACAAACGCAACTGCACCTGCTGAAAAACCTGCAACACAATGCATCCTCGTCTCGCTCTTGTCAGAGAACGCACGAGCCAGTTTTACTGTTCTTTAGCAACAACAAAGACGCTTCCCATGCTTGCATTGTCATTAAAAACACCTGCTACAGGTGCATTTATGCATGAAATATCATTTGTATAACTCAAGGAATGTCTATTGAGGAGGTCAGGAAGGATTACAGTAATCATTTGCTCGCTATGTAACATTCAGCAATGTCCTTTTGCATGGAGACAATCCATTTATTGTTTGGGGGTTACTTTAACGTTCAGTACATCCTTAATGCAAACTGGTTTATCCAGGCTCACTGTCACAAACTTGTTTATCTATAAAACTGCAGCTTTTGACATTGATGTTCTGAGTTAAAAAAATAATAATAATTTAGAAACTTTCTGTTTGATTGTCAATGCGAGTTTCAAAAGCTTAAATTCATGTTTTTTCAAATGCTGACACACTCACATGGAATGTGCCATATGGGTCAGTTACATGCATTAAAAATGCCATTATGGGCAGATGTTAGTCAGGCATGAAGGTAAACTGATCCGACGCAAAGTTACCTGAGCTTGTGTTGTAATAAATATTGTCAAACGGTTAGTAGGATTGCCAGATGTACCTGGTTAGACTGCTGCCTAGTCTTGTCATCTTTTGAGTTAAACGAACAGTTCATTCAAAAATGAAACTTCATTCCTCATTTAGATTTTCTATGAGTGTGGAGTACAAAAGGAGAATTTGTCAGCCAGTCTTTTAATGTAAATGAATGGGGAAATATGCCGATCATGCTCCAAAATGACCTAAAAAAACCGAATGCTAAACATTTTGTCATCATTTACTCATCCTCATGTCGTTGCTGTTTGGATTATGTTCCGTTCTGTTGACTTTTATGTTGATACTCTGTTCTGTTTCCAGTTGTCCCGGTTTCTCCCAGTGTTGCCAAACCACCCTCAAAAGTCTCAATTTTTCACAAAAAGTCGCCAAATATGAAAACAAAGTAAATTTGGTAAAGGTAAAGTTTAGTAAATATAATACCATTTTTAGTCGGTTGCCATGGAGTTGCTAGGGTTTTCTGGATATTTACTAGGACGTTGCTAGGTGGTTGCTAAGGTGTTTTGAGTGGGTTTTTTTTAACACTTTGGTATTCAGTTGCCGAATTGTTCTGAATAGTGACTGTCTTGTTTTGAGCGGTTGCTAAGTGGTTGCTAAAGGGATGAGTGCGGTTTTTAGTCCATTTTAGTCTGTTGCTATGCAGTTGCTAGGGTGTTGCTAAGGTGAGATCATGTGACACTGAAGACTGGAGTAATGATGCTGAAAATTCAGCTTTGATCACAGAAATAAATTACATTTTACAATAAAGATTAAGTATAACAACAAATTCTGAAGTGAAATTAGGAAATGCGTGTGATCTGCAAGCACATCAAACATGATGGAAATGATGGAAAGACACAAAAGACACATAATGTTAGGAATTTGTTTTATGTGTCACCAAAGTGCATCCCTGTCCTGCTCAAATACAACAGATAAGAGATATTATGATTCTCCAAAAACAAAAACTTTATTCATACAAACTTATTTCAGTCAACACGCTCTATTACTACAAAGTAAGTGCAAAATACTGCATCCCAGCACACATGACACGATGATGCACTGTGTCTCTCTCAGTATCTGGTTGACATGACTGTGCATGAATTGTGGTATAACTTTTGTGTCCGTGGTTAAAAACAATATGTTTTTCTCCGCCATCTTGATTGATGCTTATAATGAAATTGTGGTGTGCATCATGGCAGGCGTGGTGTACTGGTGTGTTCTGCGCAGACTCATTGTCATGATTGAGAGCAAACGTGAGAGGTCACGGGCCTACGGCAGGGTGTGGCCAAGTAAAAAATAAAAAATCTCCAAAAAATCGCTAGTTTTATTTAAATATAGCTAAAATAGCTCCTTGTAGCAAAAAATAAAAAAAAGTCGCAACTACAATGAGAAAGTAGCTAAATTTGACGACAAAATCCCCAAATTGGCAACACTGGTTTCTCCTCTCTTGTTTCGTTTAGGTTTTCTTTGTTTCTGATTATGTGCTTATTTTTTTCTGTATTACCAATGAATATCACCCGTGTTTTCATTTAGTCCCTTATGTGTATGTACACACAGCCCTGTGTTTTTGTTTGTATCTGTAGGTCGTTGTTAACGCGCAGTGTGTTTGGCGTTTATTTAGTGATCGTATTTTAGAATACTCCAGCGTCTTCACCGTCGAGTGTGTTGGATAGCAGCCACATTGTTACAGTTCCAAACCTGTATGAGTTTCTTTTTTTCAGCTAAACACAAAAGAAGTTATTTTGAGGAATGTTCGTAACCAAACAGTTGCTGGTAGCCATTGACTTTTCATTGTATTTATTTATTTTTTTTCCATATTATGGAAGTCAGTGACTACCAG